ACGCACCCACTGGGGCCTTCGGTGGAGCTCCCTATGGGGCCACGAACCGTGTGAGGGGTGAGACGTAAAGGGTTGCGGTGGCGCATGCGAACGCGCCCACTTGGGTTTTCGGTGGAGCTCCCTATGGGGCCACGAACCGTGCGAGGGGTGTGCCGTCATGGGTGGCGCTGACGCATGCGAACGCACCCGCTGGGGCCTTCGGTTGAGTTTCTTTTGGGGCCACGAACCGTGTGAGGGGTGTGCCGGAATCTGTGGCGGTGACGGTTTCCGGTGGAGCTCCCGCTGGGGCCACGAACCGTGTGAGGGGTGTGCCGAATTGGGTGGCGGTGACGCATGCGAACGCACCCACTGGGGCCTTCGGTGGAGCTCCCTATGGGGCCACGAACCGTGTGAGGGGTGCGCCGAACTGATGATGAAAGATGATGATGATGATGATGATGATGATGACGAGGATGATGATGATGATGATGATGATTCGAGGCGGACATGATTGAGCAGGACAAAGATGCGTTAGAGATTGAGTTGAAGGCACCTTCTCAAATGATGAAGGAATTTCGACATCGCGAATGGATTCGGTTTCAGGAACGCACTTTAGATTCATTATGGGAAGCGTGGAATAAACGACAGCACGCTGAGGTACATCGACTATCCAGGAGAGCGGCAGGCATGAAGTTCGGCACGAAGCGGAGGTATCATCTTGCTATTCGGACAGTCGGCTTGAGCAGTGCACAGTGGATGCAGCAATGGAGCTTGCCAGGCCATCAAGGTGGCATGGGCACACAACTCTTAAATGATTGGCAGGAGTGGCGAGATCAACGCACGGATTTAGAAACAATGGCAGTCTTGGATGAGTCTCATCGAAAAGCAGCTAAAGGAGATTTTCACAGAGTTCGAAAACACTTGGGCAGAGCAGCAAAGCGACGCGCCGTACCTCCCTGGTCCGCACCCCTCGAGCTGATCGCACTTCTAATGGGGAGTGGGCCGCAGTTACCAGAGGATGTGGCACCAGCAGGACGGGGCCTGAGACTTGGACTTCAGATTCGAGAAGCACCTCTGTTCAAGCGCGCGGTGGGGGATGGATTTGTCAGAATACGTACAGCTGGTCGCACACCTACCTACTGGCACACGATCCAGGGCATCTCCTGGCCAAAGAAAACAAAAGGCGTCACTGGCATCGGTGACACGGCTTCTGGGCTACGCACAGTACATCTTCTCGCTCCTCTCGGCAAAGCTTGGTATGCAGGCAATTCTTCGCTTCCGCTGATGCCTCATACAGCACATGGATTTTTCAAAGGACGCTGTAAGGAGAACGCTTCCATTACAGTCAATACCACCCTTTATCGGATCAAGCAAGCTGGTCGAAGCCGTTTACAACACTTTCATGACCTGAGCAATGCTTTTGGAAGTATCGGGTGGGCGGAGCTCGACGACGTGAGTATGGAGTTGATGAGAGAAGACCTGGGTGGTGAGTTCGGACAGCAACGGTATCGCGATGCGGTCATCTCCCTCCCGAGCACGAACGGCACGTCTACTCTACTCAAGCCAACTTGCGGGGCATTAATGGGTGATCCGTACGTGGTGCGTCTTTTTGTCCTTGGATTTCAGACTGGGGTCAATAGATGGACTCGAGCGCTGACTGAAAAAGGGATCGAAAATGAGGAGTTGAAGATTGAAAGCCCATTCACGAAACGAGCCGTGGACCTATCGCTGTGCCAGTGCGCCGACGACCTATCGAAGACCATCCAGGGAAAAGAAGGAGAGGGGCTGGAAGAGCTAACAAGCAGGAGTATTGAGACGAACGAGGAGCTTGACAACTCGTTGGAACCCACCGGCTGCCGCCAGAACCGCTCCAAGCAAGAGATCACCCCCGTGCTCGCGGGACCAGGGTCGCACCGTGACGCGCTGAACCTGAGGCAAGGTAGCATTGTTTTACCCGCTCGCCACAAGCCACGTGCCAGGTACCTTGGAGCCGAGGTCGCCTCTAATAGCAGCTTCTCGCCAGAGCTTCAAAAAAGACGTCGTGCCGTGGCGGTGGCGTTCCACTCCCCGGTGCGTTTTTTTGCACCCTTAAGCGCGCCCCCTGGAAAGTGCGGCGGGGCATGCCCATTTGCTGCGTTCAGAACGCCGCGCTGCACGGCAACGAGTGTTTTATTTTAAATGAAAACAACTGGCAGGCCCTAGATAAGTTAGTTGCACGCTATGCGCGCATTGCGATGGGAGGAGCAGCACACGCACAGACGGAGGAGGTGGTGGACGGAAAAAAAAACGCACTACGCACAAGTCGATGACGACCTCGGAGGTGCTGGGATATTGGCGCATGGCTCCCTGCAAACTAGAAGCTCGAGTTCGCCGAATGAAACGATATCAGACTATCGCACGCTCGCCGCATCAACATGATCAAATTCTCACTGCACTGTTCGGCGCGCACAGCTTCGACTCGGAAGAAACGACGATTGGCGACGGCATCGCAGATTGCGAACCCGTTGGCAAAACGAGTTAAGTCAGATATCTTAGATAGCCTGAACGAGATGGATGATGAAGGAGGTGCCGTTGGTAGCATGGCTCGTCTTGGGTTTCTCCAGATATTTCGCGACCCCGAGCTGGGGGAAGAGTTTGCGCAGATGGACTTCACACGGCTTCGACAAGGAGCCCACTCATCGGCGATGCCCCCACCAGGCTGGACCCCCTCGACGGTGCCTCGCATTGCCCCGCTGTGTGCGCCGTGCCGACAACAGGAGCCTGAGGACTGGGTCTGTAGGTTTGAGATGGAGGAGAGGGTGACATGTTTGAAGAAGTTTCGCTCCTTCAAAGCCGTAGCGCATCACAGATTCGCTTATCGTGGATTGCGCGACCCGTGGGTTTTCTTGCGGTGACAAATGTGCGCCCGTAGTGTGAAGGAGTTTACGGATCAGTTGTGGCAACGCAACAACATGTAGTTAAACGTGTACTTCGCGGGGGTGCATGTGTCAATCGATTTAGATACTTAGGCGGCCCTCTTCACCCCGACCGTCGCCGATGCCATCTATGCTCGTTCGAGGCGGACACTTTTTCGGGATTGCAAAAACATTTACAGTCGCACGCTCCACCTTTCGACTCTCTGCGTGGACTTGGCGATGCCATTCGAGCTGAAGGCCCCAGCGTGGGGGTTACGGCGCGACGGAACTGGAGAGCCCGCCGCCCAACGACGCAAAATGCAGGCCAACGACATCGTCGACAGCAGCGATGAAAAAACGGTGGCAAAGCTGGCACTAATTCTCGCACGCCTCGCCCTGTCGAACGCCGCGGAGCTCAGGGAGGTCACGGGGGTCTTGTGGCGCGCCGTTCTGCTGCTCAGCGCTCGCCCAATATGCTTGGCAATGAAGGCGGCGGGCGTGGCGTACCACAAAGAGGCGCAAAGGCTGCAGGGAAAGATAAGAGCTGGAGGTTCTCGGGGTTCCGTACGCGCACGTGTTCACAACGATGCTACAGGGGGGGCATGGCGAAGGGAGATCTCTCGCAGGGCGTCCAAGAGCAGATGGAGAAGTTCTGGGCGCAGTTCGTCGAGGGCAAGACAGCACAGCAGCTTCAGGAAGCGGTGCCCCAGTGCCGCGCGAAGCCCGCCAAGAAGAAGGACGGCCAGGCCGACATGACCAAGATCGCGTTCGCCCTCAGCCGGGACCGCGACGAGGTGGAGAAGCTATTGGTGAACGCTTTCAAAGGGAACCAGGGCATCGTGAAGATGGGCCCCGCTCCTCGGGGTCCGCTGGAGCGAGCAGCACAGAAGCTCCTGGACGAGTACGAGAAGAAGTGACACGTCCACGGCTGAGTGCACATCAAAGGCTGATGCCCCGTACACACAGTGAAAGATTATTGCACTTGGTGGAGCAGGGCATTGCGACGCTCGAAGCAGCATCGAGGGCCGCGGCCCAATCGAAATTTACAGTACCTGTTCGCCGGCATACTCGCACTCGAAAGAAGTAAATTTTTGGATGAGCAGCTCTCAGTTTTGGTTTCAGATTGACGCCGTGGAAGTCTATGCGAACTCCAGTAAGCTGATGCCTGGGCAGTGGCAGAGTGGACTCTTTATTTTCACAGCCATCGAGCAGTTTATCCCATGGCGATTCCTACTCAGTGTTGCAATGGAGGGGTTTGTTCAATTTCGTGGTTCAGTACTTTACACTTGGTGCGATTTCTATCCGAGCAGTTCTACATCATTGGTTGCATTGGTGGGATTCTGCTATGAGGACTCGACCTTCATTCCCGACGGCTTGTACGCCTAGGCGGGGGCGCCCGAGAGAGAGAGAGAGAGAGAGAGAGAGGACAAAAATAGCTCCTCGTCGGAATTTGTAATTCGATCGGCCTGTCAGTTGTTGTGGAACACCTCTCCTCCTCGCGCCTGCCTCCCCCTCTGTGCATGTTCCCTCCTCCACGACAGATCGCTGGCCATTTAATTGAATGCCCTCTCAGATCGGTGGTGCGTCGTGGCTCTCGGGTCCCCCACCAACGAGTCGCCGCGAATCGCCTGTGGGCCCCCATCCCCAGCGTTCGGGGCCAGCTGACCCTCCTGTAGGCCCTCAGGGCGAAAGTGACACAAGCTGAAACTCAAAGGGTTTAGGCCCAGTCTTTTTGTTTTCCAGCTCTTCCTGTGGACGCCCCCCGAGATCCATTCCCATTCCCATGATGATGATGATGATGATGATGATGATGACGATGATGATGGTGACGGTGACGCTGATGATGGGGAGAGGGAGGGGGGGCGGCGGGAGGAAGGAATGACTTGGGCGCTGTCTGTTCAAAACGAGGACCGAACACCAAATAATGGTTGGGAACAAAGGACACCACCCCACCTACAGCCCACCACGTTGCGCTACGGCCCATCGGGGGCCGCAGCGTAGACCACGCAAAAACCGAACCCAGAATCCCTGGTATACCTGCCAAGGCCCATGGGGTCGTAGGTGGGGTGGTGCCGTTTGTTTTCTGGCACACGCTGGCAACCTCGACCCTGGCGCAAAATCTGCCGCAGCCGTTCGGCTCGGGCAGAGCCCGCGACATCTGGGCGGGGGCGCGCCGATGCCTCCGCGCCCGGGCCGCGGCGGCGCTCGCAGGCGGCTGCTGGCGTGCAGTTTCCAGGCGGTGCCGCAGGTGCGGGCGGGTTTGCATCCCCAGGGATCCGACGCTCCGAAACATAATGGAGCGGCCGGTTTTTGGACGGTTTTCGGCCTCTGAGGTCGTGGTCCAGACTGCCAGGGCCCACGCATTGGAAAAAAAAGAGTTGCCGGATGTACTACGTCTTGAGGTTCTGGGTCCCCTTGCCCCAGAAACCAGAGGCGCATTGGACATGGATAAAACTATGGCCCTCTGCTAGCAGAAAGCCGGGGGGGTCACTGGGGGTTTCCCACCCGTCGCCCCTCTTCCTCTCGAAAATCGAGGGGGTCACTGGGGGTTCCAACCCCCTCGGTTTTCGAAAAGGGAAAAGGGGGGGCACTACCACTTCGACCCCCCGCCCCCCTCCTGGAAAACTGGGGGGGGGGGTCACTACCGGTTCGAGCCCCCCCCTCTCGCCGCAACGACTCCCCCTCCTCCCCCTTTTTGGCTGGGTGACTAGTGGGGACAGTGGTTGGGACGGTGGGGAGTGGGGACAGTGGGAGCGTGGTGGGGACAGTGGTGACAGTGGGGAGAGAGGGACCGTCATGGGGACAGTGGCGGGAACAGTGGGGACAGTGCGACAGTGGTGGGGGCACTAGTGGGGACAGTGGGGACAGTGGCGGGGACAGTGGGGACAGTGGAACAGTGGTGGGCAGGGTGGTGGTGGGGACAGCAGGAGGACAGTGGTGGGGACGGTGGTGGTTGGGACAGTGGTGAGGACGGTGGTGGGACAGTGGTACAGTGGGGAGTGTGGTGGGGACAGTGGGGACTGTGGGTCAGTGGTGGGGACAGTGGCACAGTGGGCAGCACAGTGGGACAGCGGCGGGGTCAGTGGGGACAGTGGGACAGTGGCGGGGACAGTGGGGACAGTGGGACAGTGGTGGGGACAGTTGGGACAGTGGGGAGAGTGGGATAGTGGTGGGGACAGTGGTGGGGACAGTGGGGACACTGGGACAGTGGTGGGGCACTGGCGGGGACAGTGGGGACAGTGGTGGGAAGAGTAAGGACAGTGCGACAGTGCTGGGGGCATGGGGACAGTGGGACAGTGGTGGGGACGGTGGTGGTGGGGATAGTGGCGAGGGGACAGTGGGACAGTGGTGGGGACTGGGGACAGAGGGACAGTGGTGGCGACGGTGGTGGTGGAGACAGTGGTGAGGGCGGTGGTGAGGACGGTGGTGGGACAATGGGACAGTGGGACGGTGGGGACACTGGTGGGGACAGTGGGACAGTGGTGGGAACAGTGGGACAGCTTAGTGGGACAGCGGTGGGGATAGTGGAGACAGTGGAACAGTGGTGGGGACAGAGGGGACAGTGGGACAGTGGTGGGGGCAGTGGGGACAGTGCGGAGAGTGAGACCGTGGTGGGGGCTGTGGCGGGGACAGTGGGGACATTGTGACAGTGGTGGGGGCACTGGCGGGGACAGTGGGGACAGTGGGGACGGTGGGACAGTGGTGGGGATTGTGGTGGTGGGGATAGTGGTGAGAGAGGTGGTGAGGACGGTGGTGGGGACCCGGGAGTCGTTTGCCGGCGGCGAGGGGGGGGGGCTCGAACCGGTAGTGACCCTCCCGGTTTTCTGGAGGGCGGGGGGGTTCGAACCGGTAGTGCCCCCCCCCGCTTTTTGCGAGAGGGGGAACACCCCTCAGTGAGGTGTTTGCGAGAGGGGTTAGGGGGGGGGGGGGGGGCAGGGGAAGGGAGAAGGGGGGGGAGAGGGGATCGAGCAGAGGTGGGGTGAGGGTGGATTTTCGGAGGAGGGGGGACCCCCGTGTTCCGCAGGAAGGAGGGGGGAATTTTCCATAGTAAAGCGGCGGTGGATCACGCTCTCTCCTAGATGGGTATCTCCATCCGCTGCGCCAGGCAGTTCCACGGGGGGACTTCTCTTCTGTAGCAACTCATGCCTGAGAAGGAGAAACGGCACAAATATAATCGCTGAACGGTCCGCGCGGATTTGTTTGATCTGCGCTGGAGCCCCATACTGGCGGCGCCTCTGGAGCCGCCCCCGGCGCTCTCCGCGCGCGAGGGAGGGAGTTCCAGCGCAGATCCAGGAAATCCACGCGGACGTTCGAACAACGATGTTTATGTAGTTGTCTCCCTCTATCATGGGAGCCTTGTGCGTCCTCGGAATTTTGTATTTACAGTGCACTAGCGAGCGCTAGCGTTTGGGAACCGATGCGAAAACAAAGACTTAGCGTCGCTTAGCGTCAGCACCCCCGCTCAGCAAACCGCCTTTCAGAGAAACGACCTGGGACCAGACCCCGCAGTCGCAGTCCCGCAAACGCTGCGGCCGCGGTGCCCTCTCAAGGACCGACAGCGGGCAACTTGCGAGTCGCCTTGGCCGGGTTGGGGTACCATTCGTCGGGGATAACAGAGCCCCTGACCATGACAGACAGAAAAGACATGGCCTCACTGAGGTTCCCGTCTTTGCAGTCGGGATCATCGGTCTGGGCGGCGTGACTAGATATGAGATACATCTGCAGAAAGGACCCCTATTATCCCTGATGTTTTTGGCCCTTCCGACTTGGGTCCCCTCCCATAGAGTTAGGGTCCTTTTAACGCGAATCACATCAACCCCCGGAAGAAGACGAAACGGCACGGACGTGAACCGCACACGCTGCGCGCTTTCTTCCCCCTTCAATGGGGAATGGAATTCGCACCAAGATCGCCAAAGGATGTGGCAAGCATCGAACCTGAGGTTTCTCAGCGTTTGCGGTTCCCGGGGCCGTCAACAAATAGCTATCAGGAGTAACGTCACGGGGGGGCAGGCTCGGGAGGGGGGGACGCATCGGCCCCGGATCGATCGTTCATCACCGTGAGGACTCCATAGCCACCCCGCAAGGGGGGGGAGGGGGGGGGAGCAAACCGGCGCTTCTCGGGGGTGGAGGCGGCGGGGGCGGAGGCGGCGGGGGCAGGGGCGGGGGCGGCGGAGGCGGCGGGTCACTCCCTGGCGGGCTGGGCCCATCCCCGCCGAAGAGGGCCACTCCCCGGCGGCGCTGGGAAGTGGCTCAGCTCGGGAGCCTTGAGACGGGGGTCAATGCAAACGGGGGTCAGCCAGAGCGCGGGATCTTGCAGGATCCTGCAGGGCCAGGGCCGCATTGATCAGGGCTTGGGCGCAGGATCCTGCAGGATCCTGCAAGATCCTTCGCATTGACCCGGGCTTGGGTGCATGATCTCGCAGGATATTGCAGGATTCTGCAAAGCCTGACTGACCCGGGTCTGGATTGACCCCGGTCTGGACTGACCCGCCGCAAATTTCGCTGATGTTTCGAACAGGGTAACCCCTGAAGACGCCAGACAGCAACATTGGCAATCACCCGTAAGGACACCATGGCCCTTTCGTAGCCGAATCGACCAGTCATCGCCGATGAAAACTTCCTGGCCCACCCATCTGAGGAACGTGCGAATGTGTTATCGGGGCCAATTGCCGAGCTTTCGGCGATGTGTCGCCCCCGTGCCGATAATCCCCTTCCGAGGCCGATGCTCAGGTCGGGCCTGTCCCTCTACAGGAGGAATATCAGAAATAGTAAACGTATAGTCTGGGGACGATTTGTCGACTATGCTTGAACATTTCTGCGCATGTTCTGATTATCTAAAAGTTTCTGAGTATTTTGAAGATGCCTTGACTATGTGCAGGAATCCAGAGACCCCCAGCAGGTTTACTGTGAGAGATCATGCCATTGCTGGTATGGCTGAAGGCAAGCATCCGAAGAAAAGATCTCGCCATGGTAGCGGAGCCGTGGTCCCGACCCTCCCAGTCCACAGGGTCGGGCTCCGCGGCTCCCTCTCCCGCCAGCGGCGCGGAGAGCCCCAGCAGCCTGGGGCCGGCCGCCGGCGCGGGAGCCGCAGCAGGGCCTGCCGGGCCCAGCTCCAGCGAGGGCGACGAGTGGGAGCTCGTCGAGGTCCATCGAGGCTGGAGGAGAGTGGCGAGGCAGCTACGCAAGCTGTTCAGGCTGAGGAGGACCTGGGCAGCGCTGGGCCAGCACCTGAAGGATTTCACGAAGCTGCGCGCGAACCGCCGCTGAGATGGCGGAGGAGCGCGTGCAGGCTCTAGAGCAGCAGATGATAGCGCTGGCCCAGGAGCTGCAGAGACGCCAGCAGAGGGATAACGATCTCACGGCCGAGGTGCAGCGGCTCGGCCGTGTGGCCGAGGCTAGACCACGGGTGGACGGGCCTGTGCTACAGCCTCGAGCCGAGTCGCTCGTGGACACTCGCACGCTGGGCAAACCAGACGCGTTCACGGGCGAGGAGCACAAGTGGAACGATTGGAAGGTGATCTTCAAGGCGTACTGTGGCGTCGTGAACGCCGACTTGCTGGCAGGGATGCGACTGGCAGAGAGCGCGGACGAGGCCTCAGTTCAGAACGATGACTTCCTCGAGGGGAACATGAGGCAGGCCTCGCAGCAGCTGAATTACATCTTGCTCCTCCTCTGCCGGCGACATCCCCTGACGACGATCGTGAATGCTGGCGAGAATGAGGGCTTCCAGGCTTGGCGCAAGCTGGTCGAATACTACGAACCGAATGCGAGGTCCCGCATCGCGGGGCAGCTGCTGAACCTCCTGAACTTCTCGTTCACTGGCGATGTCGAGGACCGGCTGGCGCCGTTCGAGCGAGAGCTCCTCAGATACGAGCAGAGGAGCGGCGAGGCCATCACAGCCTCTATGAGGATCGGCATCGTCCTTCGGCAGCTCGAGGAAGGCCCTCTACGCCAGCACCTCTTGCTCAATGCGACCAGGCTGGTGGAGTGGCAGGACTTCCGACGTGAGGTCACCGACGTCCGCCGTGCCCAGAGCGCCATCGCCCGGGTGCCCGCGCCCATGGACCTGAGCGCGTTCACCAAGGGTGACGGCAGGGGCAGGTTCAAGGGCGACGGCAAGGGCAAGAGCAAGTCCAGTGGCAAGGGCTGGAGCAAGGGCGACAGCAAGGGCAAGTCCAAGTCCGACGGCAAGAGCAAGACCAGCAGCAAGTCACATGGTCAGCAGCTCGGGCCACTCTGCTGGGGCTGCGGCGGTCGCGGCCGCACCCAGCGCGAATGCCCGAGCAAGCGCAGGGGGACGTTGGCGAGCATGGAGCAGACGCTGGCTCGCATCAACGCCTCCCAGTCGACGAGTACGACCGTGCCATCGGCGGCCAGCTCTATCTCGACGGCTGCGACTACGAGGCTGAGTCCGGCGACGGCGATGTCCGGCACGAGCTCTCGACAGGTCGCAGCACTCTACCTGGGCGACGCGGACGAGCAGGTCAGCTACCCGTTCGCGAACCTCCACTCCCTCAGCATCTACGACCCGGGGCCGGACAAGGCGGACGTGGTCGACTCTGCGACCGGCGCGGCCCTGGACCTGAACGCGATCCACGGCAACTCGGATGCGGAGGAGGTCGAGCTCAACGGCATCTTGCGTGTGGGCATCGACTCGTGTGCGGCGGCATCGGTGCTGCCGCGTGGCTCGCGCACGGACTAACCGGTGCACGAGGGCGGCCAGGCGATCTCGTACAAGACCGCCTTTGGCCACTACGTGAACGACGAGGGCGAGAAGATCCTCGTGGGGACGATGCCTGGGGCTTCTCAGGCACGCGCTGCCAAGTTCAGGGTGGCGGACATCAGCAAGCCGTTGCTGAGCGTCGCGGAGATGGACGACTCTGGCCGTCGGCTCGTCTTCGACTCGGAGGGCGGGCAGGACATTAGCTACGCGTGCCACAAGACCAGCGGAGACGTTGTCAAGTTCTGCCGCGGGAACAAGGTCTACGAGATGGATATGCACGTCGACCCGTGCGTGCCGGAGGTCTGCCCGGTCGAGGTGGCAGGCCACGAGCCTCCCGAGGGCGAAGCCGGCCAGCCAGGCGCGGCTCACGAGGAGGTCGCGGAGGGCCCGCCGGCACGGCCGGCGAGGGAGCCCGCAGCGCCGACGGCGGCCGAGCGAGCCGCGCACGAGGTGCTGCACGAGCCCTACAGGGCATGGCGCCGGGAGTGCGTCTCCGGCAGAGGCCTGTCCGCAGGCCATCAGACGAAGGACCGCCAGGAGTCGGCGCTCGCGGTGGTTGGCATCGACTACGGCTACCTCGGTGAACGAGAGGACGCCGCGCCGCTGCTGATCGGGAAAGATTCGAAGCAGCGTTGGTTCCACGCGTCGGTGGTCCCAGCTAAGGGCACGCAGCATCCCTGGCCGGCAAAGTCGTGGTCCAGGAGGCTGGCATCGGCTGGTCACAAGCGCTTCGTCTTCCGCTCAGACGGCGAGGCGCCGCTCGTCGCCCTGAAGACCCGCATCGGGGCCAAGCTCAAGGAGGAGTGCGGCATCGAGACGGTGCCCGAGGAGAGCGCGGTCGGCGACTCCCAGGGCAACGGCCTGGCCGAGCACGCGGTGCGCGAGGTCAAGGCCAAGGTGAGGACGGTGCGGGCGCAGGTGGGCGACCTCCACGGCGTGAGCATTGGCGTCGAGCACCCCGTGGATGGTCGAGTTCGCAGCCATGTCCATCAACCTGGGCAGGCGGGGCGCCGACGGCCGCACGGCTTGGGAGCTTCGGCACGGCCGCCCCTTCAACAAGGACCTGGCTTGCTTCTCGGAGAAGGCCCTAGTTCCTCGCTGGGCTCTATCTGGGGCCCACGCTTCGGACGGACGAGGTCTACATTGGCACGGAGTGGGGCGCGCTACGGGCCAGGACCTTCAAGCGGTTGACGGTCGAGCAGCGGGCCGACAAGGACCTGCTGAACTGCCTCGTGGGGAAGCCGTGGGCGCCGGTGCCGACGGACGTAGAGGTGGACGAAGTGCCGGTGGCCATCGAGATCCGAGCGCCGGTGCCAGCGCCGGTCGCGCCTGTGGGCGGACCTCTGGCGCCCATCCCTGAGGCTGGGGACCTCCCGCCCCGGGCTCTCCGAGTCGGGCGACCACCAGCAGGGCCGCGGGCCGTCTACATCAGGAAGGACGTCGAGATCGCGAAGTGCGGGCTCTCCCCGGGCTGCTACGGCTGCGCCGCGATCCTCAACGGCGCCCGGGCGCAGGCTCGCTCAGCCGAGTGCCGCGCTCGGATCGAGCAGGCGATGCAGGACGACGAGGAGGCAAAGCAGAGGCTCGAGGATGCCCGTGAGCGGAAGCGGCATCGCACTGACGTCGCCGGGCCTGTCTATCAAGAGGGCGGCTCGTCAGGCAGTGGCGGTCCAGCCCCAGCTCAGCAGGTGCCGCCAGCACCCGAGGCCGCGGCGGCGGCTGACGCGGCGATGGCTCCGGCACCACACGACCCTGGCGACGACAACATGCAGGAGGAGATCGGTGCCCTCCTGCTCTCCCTCGGCTACAGCGGGCGCAAGGCCGATGTGATGGAGGTCTTCTGCCCGAATAGGCTCGTGGGCTTTGCCCCCCTCTTCGGTCTGGTCCACGGCGGCTCGTTCGACCTGAGGGTTGGCTGGGGCCTGACCGACCGCCAGCAGCAGCGACAGTGCCGGGAGCTGATCGAGCACTTCGAGGTGTACTTCCCCTTGGGCAGTCCTCGCTGCGCGCCGTTCTCCATGCTGAAGTACCTGAACGAGGACACGGAGAAGCAGCGTGAGGCCTACGCCATCGGGCACGAGCACTTGAGGTTCGTGATGGAGCTCTACACGCTGCAGGTGAAGCACGACCGCACGTTCTTGCACGAGCACCCCTGGAGCGCGGACAGCTGGGACCTGGACATCGTGAAGGATGTGATGGCTCTCCCGGGTGTCGCGGTCGGGCGAGGCGACCAGCGCGCGTTCGGCCTGGTGGTTGCTGACGCGCACGGCGACAGGCTCGCCAAGAAGCCGACAGGGTGGATGAGTAATAACAAGGAGGTGTTGGATGAGGTCTGCAAGCGCTGCCCCAATGATACTGGCATTGGCAGCCGCCACGAGCATTCCACCTTTGTCGGCCGCAACATGCGCGTGGCGGAGAGGTACCCGGTCAAGCTCCTCCGCGCCATCCTCCGTGGCCTCCGCCGTCACCTTAGCAACAAGAAGGTGCTTACGCATTCGGCCCTGGATGCTGGGCCGAACGTGGACGACGAGGAGATCAGCCTGAAGGACTTCGTCGGGAAGTGGCGCGACACGCTGAGGACCGAGTTCTACGACGACCTCACCGGCCTCCCGCTGGACTCCACGCGGGTGAAGGCCGCGAGGCGCCTGGAGATGGATTTCATGGCGCAGCTTGGCGCGTGGGTCTACGCGAGGGAGGAGGACTGTCAGCGCGAGCTTGGACGGAGGCCTCTCAGTGTGCGCTGGGTTGATATCGACAAGGGCGACACGGACCGGCCGGATTGCAGATCCAGGCTCGTCGTGCAGGAGACCAAGGCGCAGAGCGCCATCGCCGGGGACGACATCGGCGCGGTGTTTGCGGCGACCCCGCCGCTAGAGTGCCTTCGGCTCATCTGCAGCATGGCGATGTCGAGCGACCCGTCCGAGGGCCGCGTGCTGCGCTTCCTGGACATCTCGCGGGCGCACCCGCACTGTGAGATCAAGAGGGCGGTCTACATCAAGCTTCCAGAGGAGGATCCGATGTCGCAGGAGATCGGCACGTGTGGGCTTCTGCGGATGGCGCTCTACGGGACGCGCGACGCTGGCCAGAACTTCGAGCTCACGACCGCCGAGACGGTCATCGGTGCTGGCTGTGACCAGTCGGCCTTCTCGCCTTGCGCGTACTGCCACAAGGACCTCCAGGTGAGCTTCTTCCACCACGGCGACGACTTCGTGCTCGAGGGCTCTCGGGACGGGACGGAGTCGATCTGCGAGGCCCTGAAGACGAAGTTCATCGTGAAGGACAGGGGCGTGCTCGGGCCGGCGCCTACCGACGCAAAGGAGATCACGCGCCTCAACAGGGTGATGCGCTGGCGAGACCGATGGTGCCAATGGGGGCGAGGCCATCGAGTACGAGGCGGATCCCAGGCACGCGCAGATCTTGCACGCGCAGCTTGGATTGGACCCCCGCACCACGAAGTCATTGAGCACGCCAGGGCTGAGCCAGAAACTTACACCTGAGGTCGAGCGCGAGCTGAACGAGCACGAGGCGGCAGAGTACCGCAGTGCGTGCATGAGGCTGGGCTACTTGGCGCTCGATCGGCCAGAGGTGCAGTTCACGGCCAAGGAGTGCGCTCGCGGCATGCAGAAGCCGACAGAGCGACACCTCCGCCTCCTGAAGCGCGCTGGGCGCTTCTTGATCGGGGCGCCGCGGGCCATCTGGAAGTGGGGCCGACAGCGGGCACCCACAGTGATGGACATCTACTCGGACACCGATTGGGCAGGCTGCCCGATCACGCGGAGGAGCACTAGTTCAGTCGTGATCAAACATGGGCAGCACCTGATCGTGACGGCGTCGACGACTCAGATCCCCATCTCCATGAGTTCGGGGGAGGCTGAGTTCTACGCCTGTGTGCGAGCGGCCAGCAGGGCCATCGGCATGCAGTCACTGTGCCAGGGCCTAGGCAGGGACGTGAGCCTTCGCATCTGGAGCGACTCGGCAGCTGCTCTTGGCATCATGCAACGACGAGGCTGCGGCAAAGTCCGACACCTCGAGACGCCGACGCTGTGGGCGCAGAAGGCACTCAAGGACGGACGGTTTCAACTGGCCAAGGTTCCCGGGAAGTCGAACCCGGCGGACCTGGGGACGAAGTTCCTCGACCAGGCGGCGATGCTCCGAGGGCTCGAGATGATGAGTGTCAAGCTCTCGGACGCGCCCCTCTCGAGTGCCCTTTCAGGCGAAGGTCTGAACCAGGGGCACGAGCGGCCATTTTGGCCTGGCCATTTCGGCCTGCAGTCTTTCGCTCCGCGCTGTCATTGCCTTGGACGGGCTACGGCCGTCAGCGCGGCTATTGCGTGCACTTTGATTGCAGTGCTCGACCAACGTCGTGGTCCAGAGCGCTGTGCGCTGACAATGAGTTTCGGAGCTTTTCAGGGTTCGAGCATCGTGCCCGGCTGAAGAGCTAGGCGGCACGAAGGGGGCTGCAGGAATCCAGAGACCCCCAGCAGGTTTACTGTGAGAGATCATGCCATTGCTGGTACGGCTCAAGGCAAGCATCCGAAGAAAAGATCTCGCCACTATGTGTGATTATCTGTAAGTTCCTGATTACGTGTGTTCTGTTTTAAGAAGTTGTTGCTTATGTCTTTTACTTTTGATTATTTTGAATATGTTTGAGCATGTGTTGACTATTGTTGAAAATTGTAAGATTATTGCTGAGGCTTTACGGCCGTTGTCGCCGACCCTGGAGGACGACCCTCCTGGGGGAAAAGGGAGGCAGACATGATGGGTGAGATCGGAATGAAACGCTCTCGAGAGTTTCCGGGAGCAGCACTGGTTTGCCTTGGGAGAAGGGTCCTCAGAAGACTACAGAAACCTTGGCAGACAGGTCTTGACAGGTCAGTAATAGTAGTAGTAGTAGTAGTAGTAGTAGTAGTAGTAGTAGTAGTAGTAGTAGTAGTAGTAGTAGTAGTAGTAGTAGTAGTAGTAGTAGTAGTAGTAGTAGTAGTAGTAGTAGTAGTAGTAGTAGTAGTAGTAGTAGTAGTAGTAGTAGTAGTAGTAGTAGTAGTAGTAGTAGTAGTAGTAGTAGTAGTAGTAGTAGTAGTAGTAGTAGTAGTAGTAGTAGTAGTAGTAGTAGTAGTAGTAGTAGTAGTAGTAGTAGTAGTAGTAGTAGTAGTAGTAGTAGTAGTAGTAGTAGTAGTAGTAGTAGTAGTAGTAGTAGTAGTAGTAGTAGTAGTAGTAGTAGTAGTAGTAGTAGTAGTAGTAGTAGTAGTAGTAGTAGTAGTAGTAGTAGTAGTAGTAGTAGTAGTAGTAGTAGTAGTCTAGTAGTAGTAGTAGTAGTAGTAGTAGTAGTAGTAGTAGTAGTAGTAGTAGTAGTAGTAGTAGTAGTAGTAGTAGTAGTAGTAGTAGTAGTAGTAGTAGTAGTAGTAGTAGTAGTAGTAGTAGTAGTAGTAGTAGTAGTAGTAGTAGTAGTAGTAGTAGTAGTAGTAGTAGTAGTAGTAGTAGTAGTAGTAGTAGTAGTAGTAGTAGTAGTAGTAGTAGTAGTAGTAGTAGTAGTAGTAGTAGTAGTAGTAGTAGTAGTAGTAGTAGTAGTAGTAGTAGTAGTAGTAGCAGTACCAGTAGTGGTAGTTCCAAAGCTCTCGGGGTCTTTTGGGAGGCAGTTTGAGGGCATATTGGGAGCGTCTTGGAGGCCTCGTGGGAGCCTCTTGGGAGCCTTTTGGAGCTTCCTGGGGGCCTCAGGGCTCTAGGGGCCTCTTGGGGACTTCTTGGGACCTGTTGGGAGCCTCTCGGGGCCGAGGGCTTTAAATGTTCGTTGGGGTCCCACGTCGGGGCGCCTTCTTGGAGCCGTCTTGGTGGCCTCTTCGGCCATTTCGTGGCCTCTTGGGCTGTCTTGGGGCCCTCTTGGGTAGTTTTGGGGCTCTCTTGGATGTCTCTTGGGCTGTCTCCTAGCGTCGGGAAGCCGAAAAGGCGAGAACGCCAAAATCCTTGGTAAAACGTTTAGGAGAATCTATGAATTTTCCCTTTTCGGGCTCTTTGTGAATAGTCTGGGAGGCTCTTGGGGCGACTCGGAGGACACTTGGGCCGTGTGGAGCTATCTTTGACGTCTTGAACCGATCGTTCGTCGATTCGGAGCCCTCTTGGACCATGTTGAGGGGCTCTTTGGTCACAGTTGGCTCGTCTGGAGGCTTGCGTTGGTCCCGGGACCCCCCGAGGGAGATGGTATTGTGACCCGGGACCCCCCCCCACACACCTCCCCCCATCCCTCCCCCCCCTGGGACCCCCCTCCCCCGTCGAGGAAGGGATCAAAGGGAAGGGGCTTCCCTTCGACTCAATTACGAGGTGGGAGACAGCGACTGCCGTAAGGTGACGGCGACGACAACGGGGAGGGGAGCAGCGAGGATAACAACAACCATGGCGAACAGCACCTGGGCGGGAGCAGCGATGGAGGCAACAACCACGACGAACAGCCCATTCCACACGCCGACAGGGTCGGCATTTTTTAAAGTTTCGTCCAAAATCCGCCTGTAGGAGGACATGCCCGACCTAAGCCGATCTCTTTCCTCTCTGGAGCTAGTGCCTCCCCCAGGGGAGAGTTGCGAGAGGCCCGGGGCACCACCACGCAGAGGTCTTCCGCAGGGGAGAAAAAAACACACACATGGGCACACATCGGTCGACGATCTCTAGGACAACATGTGCAAGACATGGAAAAAGTGGAGGGGGAGACGTAAACATCCAGGAAATGGGAAAAGTGGAATATCAGCCACGCGCAGGAGGGGGGTGGGGGGAGGGGGGAGGGCTTCTTAGAAGCACCCCTGCTTCATAGAAGGCGCGGGCCTTATCTATAGATGTGAGGCCGCCACCTTCTAAGAAGCAGCCTCCTCCTAAGAACCCCTCCCCCGTCCCTCCACCCACTTGTGCGCGCCGCCAAGCATAGTAAATGCAAACATCCAGGAAGTATACAAGGCATGGAAAAGTGGAATCTGTAAAACATCCAGGACATGTGAAAAATATGGGGAGCCCTGGGGTTTGTGTCTGTTCATGTTTTGTGCCCCCGGGCCCCTGTGTCGTCTGAGGCACGCCAGAGGTCTGAGGGTCGTAGCCAAAGAACAGGACACGATTCAAGCATAAGCTCTTGGAGGTCCGTGAGGATCTTGGGTCGGCGTTGGGCCCCTCTCCTTGGGTCGACGTTGGGGCCTCTGGACGGCGCCTCTGGCGCCGTCCCCAGCGCGCCCCGCGCGACGGGGAGAGCGTGGCGGAAGGGCGGGTCCAGCGCCGGCCCAAGGGCCTCGCGTGGATCTCCAATCTCACAGTCGCATCAAAGCATGAAGTTGCCTGCCTGTAAGTGCCCCACGGGACAGTCTCAGGCCCCGTTGTCCCTGGGGGCCCGTGGTGCACACCAGGAAGCCGAATACCGACGGTGTATGCTCACTCGCCAAGCGCCGCGTGGAAGATCTTGAAGCCTGGCAGGGAAAATTGAGAGCTGCGAAGCACATATATCTCTATAAATATACATATATATATATATATATATGTAGGTCGCGCGATTGCTTTACGGCATTATGATGATCTATCTCGTGCGCATCTGCTCTCGGGGTGCCGCCGTCTCTTGCTGAGCGCCGGGGATCCAGGAAGCGGGTGCGGGGGCAGGCGCGACGAATCCCAACCAAATTGGACGGACCCCTACCAACCAGTACCGATTTCAATGGAGCGCAGGAGCTCAATGTGGCATTCACCCCAACGTGCCAGCACAGCAAACATGAATTCGTGTGCGATGCAATCCGGTGGTATAAGCTGGAAACAAGGGCCTCCTTAAGCGTGCTCGTTGGTTCTGAGTATTCACATGAGTGGTCGAGCTGGGATTGTTACCGCAACGGTCGGTGTAGATGCGAATCTAACAAGTTGAGGCTCGTGACACATGGAAGCACAAGCGTCCGCTAGCACAGCACAGCGCAGCTCAAGGCAACACAAACCAGTTCTCGACAATACAGCGCAATGCAGGCCAATGAAATTCAGCACGATGCAGACGCAACGCCGCGCAATGCAATGACACGGACAGCGACGCAGTAATCAAACAGCGCAGCAAGTTGAATCGCCACCCGCAAACCGAAGCGACGCAGAGGAGACAACATGAGAACACTGCAAATGCAATACACCGTCATGGGAAAGCGTTGCCACGCGATGCGACACAGTGAGACACCGTACAAACGCAATGCATAAGCAACGCGCAATCACACCGCGCCGCCTCCTCCTCCTCCCCCTCTTCCTTCTTCCTCCTCGTCCTCCTCCTCCTCGTCCTCTTTCTTTCTCCTCGTCCTCCTTCCTCCTCCTCCTCCTTCTCCTCCTCTTTGTCTTATTATTCTTGCGACATAGCATTTGCTGCACGGAAGACGAGTTACAGCAGAAGGCGCACATGAGAAGCAGGAGGGGCGGACCGTCGGGCGGTCGCTCCAGAACGCACTTGGGAGCACAGGGCAGCACCGTGCCTTGCCCAGCGGGAATTTACCAAAGACTCCCACGGGCTCCCTGTACGGAAGTGTTCAAGCTTCGCTGCGGTGATCCGTTCGGGATCCAAAGGGTTTCCCATGCCACCGCCAGGATTCCTTCCGGAACCTACGGATTTCCACCGAATCCGAATGATTCCCTGGTGAAGCTGGAGGATCCCTGAAACATTGGTTTGGGGCCCGAAGATTTTCACACGTTTTTCATACAGATGTCCGATGGAGTCTTGTGGGACACTCCCGAACGCCCCCGCAAGAAGCCCGATGGAATCCAACGATTTTCCTAAGGAGCCCCAGGAATACCCCAAGGAGTCCTCAGAAGATTCGCAAGAAGCATGAAGATTTCAAGGCAAATGATTCCTGGATGCAAGACTATCTCCTGGATTGCGATCGGGGCCATTGGGTTGGTTCCGCCCCGACGTGGATGGGAGTCGGGCCAGTCGGCTGGATTCCGTCCAACGAACGGCCCAGGGAGGATCAGGCATGCGAAGGATCAGGATGAGTCGATACAGTCGGGCCGCTGAAGAAGAAACCCTTTTCGTTGGGGAGGGGCTCAGTTCCTTGATCGTTTGCCGTTTGTCTGAGATGATCCTCAGGACTGTCTGGGAGGACGGAGTTCATCGCATGGAAAACAAGGTGCCTCGTTCCTTCTGTGGGGCTCCTGATGACAGCGTCTCGACTGCACAGAGGTTTCCAGAACTCCTTCAGAGCGTCTTGAGCGCTCTGGAGCGGCCGCGTCGCGCAGTACGACCTCCAGGGCCCCCGGATCTCAGAGGTCCCGCTTTTTGCCGGCACGATTTTGTCCACGTCTTGGCCTAGTCTCAGGGAGTTCTCCTTGCTCAGGAGGAGGTTGCGACCCCGCCCTGTGGTGACCCCCTTTGGCACTGGCTGGGCCCTCAAAGCTGACCAGCCCTGGCGTCGACGGTTCGCTGGCGCCGCATGGCCAGCTCGTGCTTCCACTGCAGCGGGACGGGCCAGTACACCCCCAGGGACCTCCCGAGGCCGTCCAACCGATATCGGGAGGGCTCCCGATGCTGCGAGCTGGTCGCTCTGTCGATCACAGCGATCCCCGTGTGCTTCTTGGCTCTGATGGTAGTCGTCGAGGTCCAGTCGGCTTTTTCCAACAGAGACTTCTTGACCGTCGACGACGCCACGGCATACGTCATGCATTCCACGGGCAATCCCTTCAGACTGAGCTATTTGGTGGCTGGTTGCGGGGTCGCCGCCCTTGCCACCATGGTGGCTTTCGCGTTCGGGTTTTGCTGCGCGCTGTTCAGCAAAGGAAAAAAGATCCAGCTGCCTGTGGCAAGTCCCGCCCCGTGCCAGCCCAGCATTCTGGATGGCGAGTGTGCGAGGAAGCGCGGGAGTCCGTCACGCGCGACGCACCGTTTTCGCAGGCTTCTGAGGGAGCCGTGATAAGGATTACGAGGATTATTAAGGTTATGAGGATGATGAGGATGTTGAGGAGGAGGAGGACAGAAGCAGAAAGAGGATGGCCGTCCCTTGCGACACCTTTAGTCTTCACTGTTGGAGGAGCTGTGATGGAACTCGGCGGGGCTGTCTTGGAGCTATTTTGGCTTCCTGCAAGGCAGTCTTGGGGGTCATTTGGGGCTCTCTTGGGCCGTCGTGGGGCCCTCTTACAGCGTCTTGAGGCTATCTGCAGCCGTCTTGGGGCCCTCTTGGCTGCCTGGTCGGTGTCCGCAGGCCGTCTTTGGCCGTCGAAGGGCCTTCTAAGGCCGTCTTCGGTCTCATGGGAGGCCATCTCGGGCCGTCTTCGGACCGTCTTGAAGTTCTCTTAGGCCATCGCGGGGTCCACCTTGGCCATCTTGGGACCCTCTTGAGGGTAGGTCCTCCCAGGTGGGGTCGGGGCCATATCGGAGGCTTCCAGGACCGTCCTGAACCGACGGAAGCTCGAAGAGGCGAGAGTGCGAAAACCATGCAATGATAGCCTGCGTGGACCCCCAAACAGTATGTGCGTATGTATTTAACAACCTATGTTGCCCCATATATGTATATTGTGCCGTCTATACGGTGCAACGTAGGTTGTGCAATATGTTGGGTGCAATCCACGTTGTGCATATTATGTTGTACAATCAACTATGTGCAACCATTGTTGTGCAGTTTATGGTTTGCCACGCGTTGTTTGCAATATGCGTGGTGCAATATATGTGGCGCAATCGATGTGATGCAGCCTATGTTCTGCATCTTGTGTGGTACGCTCCATGGTGTGCAGCAGATGTGAAGCAGTACAGGTTTTGCAGTACATGTGGTGGGGCCTAGGTGGTGCACATAGGTTGTGAAATATATGGGGGTGCAGTGGATCAACGTGGTTCAATCTAGGGTGTGCAACTAGTTCTGACGCTTCGCGTAACCCCCCCAGCCTATCCAGAGACGATGTCCAGAGAAGTTGCCTCGGTCAGGGAAGTGGACAGCACGCAGAGGGAAGGTCCCTAGTGGAGCGCTCTTGGGACACTCGTGGGCGCTCTTGGGGCCGTGTTGGGGCTTTCTTGGGCCTCTCTTGCGTCTTGGGGGCCTTTCGGCGGTCCCGGCGGCCTCTTGAAGCGTCTCGGGTGCCTCGGCGAACCTCTTGTGGCCGCTTGGGAGTCTTTGGGGGGCCTCTTGGAGGCCTCTTGGGCGCCTCTTGGGGCCTCCTGGGCGCCTCCTGGGGCCCTCCTTGGCACTCTTGGAAGCCTTGGGAGCGCTCTTGGGGCCATCTTAGACGGTACCGATCAAAAAAGAAGGGAGCTTTTTGTCAGCGTCCCCCCTTGGGAGACCCAAGAGCCGCCTCTTGGGACGCTCTCGGGGCGCTCTTGGAGCGCTCTCGGGCGCTCTTGGGGCCGTCTTGGAGCTCTCAGAGCCTCTCTTGGGGCTTTCTTGGGCCATATTGGAGCCATCTTGAGGCCTCGGACTGCCATCGGAAGTGAAAAGGCGAGAAAGCAAATAACATTGATTTTCCTTACGTTTTGACAGGAGGTTGGTCTCTTCAGGGCTTCCTTGAGGAGCTCTTTAGCCACTTGGGGCCGTCTTGGGACGGCCTTGGGGCCTCTTGGAGCATCTCGGGTGCCATCTTGAGGCATCTTGCGCCACCTTGAGCCATCTTGGAGGTCATCTTGGGCTTTCCGAGGCGCTCTTGGAGCCATCTTGGGCCATCTTGGACGCTCCAACGCGTCACGGCCCCAGGGGAGGGGGGAGGGGGAGGGGTAAACCCTTCCCCGAAAAGGGAAGAAGGGGGTTGGAAGAGGAAGCGCCCTAGACCCCCCTACGCCCAGAGGGCTGGGGGGATTTCTGTTCGCAGTGAGTTGCCCACGCCATTGTTCGCCCAATCGTCTCACCCACCCACCGCAACTTGGTTTGCAAAACCCATGTGGCGGTGATTGCGATGAGTGCTGGGGGATGGCTGGTGCATCTCTGCGGCCGCGCCAGCCCGCGCATGCTCGCGCGCGCAGCGGCCATATAGTTTGGCGCTACCGACGCGGCAGCGGCGGCGCTGACCGCTGGGCACCCCCCAGCGGGCACTTCAGCGCGAGTCGGCGACTTGGGCTGGCCCGGTATCATGGCAAAGTCGACAACGGTAGACGCGACGATGATGGTAGCGATGTTGGCGACGATGGTAACAGCGACGACGGCAAGGCAAATGACGGCGCCGATGCTCATTTGGGAAACATGATGTTGCAAAACCATGTGTTGCTATATGTTTCTTGGAAACTCTATTTCGAAATCTTTACGACCTTTGAAGCTCATTACGTATATATGTATATGGGATTCCTTCATGCGCGCACGACGACGCGCGCGCATGCACGGCGTTTTTTTTTGTTTTGCAAGGACTCTTGCGACAGCATGCGCACACGGGCGTTCGAGCGACTCCAATCTGCGCGCGCGAGAGGCTCACCTGGTAGCACGCTATGAACATATTGAGAAGCTTATGATTATTAAATAATAACATCGCAAGGGTCCGAGCGCAAGTTTTTATTGAACATTTTTGTTGCGAGGCAATGTGTTTTATACGTTTTCGGAACACTCGGTTTTAACATCCGTGAGAAAGCCATTGTTTTTGGTTAGGGATTTCGGCATGCAAGCGACGGGGCGCTCGTGTGCACTTCGTTCCGTCTTCTGCAACAGGCCGTTGAAAACTTATGAGTTGTGCTCAACGAGTGCGTGCGCATCGGATATGCTGCAGAGGATGGGATGGGGCAACCGATACAGGCCTGCCTGGGATGTGCGAATCTGTATTCTTGGATGGACGACGCGGCAAAATCGCATGCAAATTGCAATGCGGAAATTTGTGCCGTTCATTCAGGGGAGGGCGGGGCGGGGTGGACCGGGGGGTAGATGGGTAGATCCTCATATTTTCTTAAAATTAGAGAATCTTATATATATATATATATGTATACATGTCTTTATACATACACGTTTATTTGTAATTGTGTATATCTATATGTATGAAGCATTCTCCGTTGTAGAAACTACGATTTACATCCTGACGCGCGCATTTCATGTGGTGCGATTCATGATGTGCAATGTGTGGTGCATTATTCGTCATGCTTTGAATGTGGCGCAATCGGCGCGGCGCAATATATGTTGTTCAACGTGAGCGTTTGCAATATATGTGGTGCCAGCTACGTAGTGCAATATAGGCTGCGCAGGCTGTTGCGTTCAGTTGGTTGTGTGCAATTTACGTTGTGCAATCTGCTCCGTGTAATACTTGTTGCGCCATGTATGGTGTGCAATCTGCTGTGTGCAATACACTCTGTGCAATCTTTGCTGCGTCATCTACGCGATGGAACCTATGTAGCGCGCTCCGTAGTAGACCCTATTGTTGCAGCGCTTGCGAAGCAGTCCGCGCGGCACAGCATACGCGGCGTAGTCTTTGCGGTGCAACTTGCGTGGCGCAAGTGCATTCTACAGGCGAGTTGACAAATCCCACGCTCTTGCAAACGCGCCGCGGGCCCACCCGCAATTAGGCGCGCTAAACCCAGGCGGCGGCGATTGCCACGGTCGCTCGGCGATGGCTGGCGCACATGCGCGGCCGCGCTAGCCGGCGCATGCTCTCGCGCGCAGCAGCCGGCTAGTCTGGCGCGACCGACGCGGCCGCGGTGGCGCTAACCGCTGGGCGCGCCCCAGCGGGCACTTCAGCGCGAGTCGGTGACTTGGGCGGGCGCGGCACCATGGCGACGCCGACGGCGGCGGGCGCGATCGCGGGAGTAGCGACGACGGCGACGATGGCGGCGACGACGACGGCAAGGCAAATGGCGGCGCCGATGTTGATCGCGCCCGCCAATAACGATGACGACGGCCTCGCGTCGGCGATTGAGGTTTTTCAAGGAGTTCGGCTAGCGCGCGGCCGACCCGCGCGAGTGGCCCGCGCTGTTTCACTCGACGCGGATCGCCCCCCTCCCCCGCCCCCCCCCCCCCGGCACGCGCGCGAGGGCTTTCGAATGAGTTCGCCGCGCGGCGCGAGAGGCCCTTCTGGCGCAATGCGATGAGCACGTTGAAGACCTACGGTTTCTTGAAGAACCCGCGAGACCGCGAGCGCCAGTTTTACATTGTTTTGCAACTTGCGTTGCAAAGCCATGCGCGTTTAAAGGTCTTCGGTGCGCTCGATCTTGACGTCCTCGCGAATCTCCCTTCAAGGATTTCGGCGCGCGCGACGACGCGCGCGCGCGTCGCCCCATTTTTTTGCGAGGGGGGGATTATCGCGACGGCGCGCGCGCGAGGGCGCCCTGGCGATCCCGAAACGCGCGCGCGAAAGGCTTGCCCGGTAGCAGAGTGTGGAAATTTGAAGGAGCCTGCGGTTTTCTTCAGAACCCGCGCGGCCGCGCGCGCAGGCCCGATCGAAGACCGCGCTGCAAAACCATGTGCTGTCACATGTTTCCGGGGCGTTCGATTTTGACCTCCGCGCGACACCGAAGGTTTCTGAATAATTTCGGCGCGCGCGCGCCACCACGCGCGCGGGCGCGTCGCTTCGTTGCTTGCAGGAGCAGGTTGTGAACTGCTGAACAACGTATGGATTTCTCAAGAACTCGCAAGGCCGCGAGCGCGGGCTTCCTTGCAGACTGACGTTGTAACACCATCTGGTTCGACGCATGTTCAGGGTTCTGAATTTCGACATCCTTGCGAGACTTTAAGGTTTTCCGAGTCGGCACGCGCGCGCGCAACCGCGCGCGCACGCACGCTGACTTTTTTTCTGCAGGCGATTCGCGACAGCGCGCGCGCGAGGGCGCTCGAGCATTTCCGACGCGCTTGCCCGAGAGGCGCTTGTTTGGTCGCAGGTGCTGCCATTCTTTTGTATGCGTATAAC